GATATTATAGACATGATATTATAGACATGGTATTATAAACATGGTATTATAGACATGGTATTATAGACACGGTATTATAGACATGATATTATAGACATGATATTGTAGACATATTGTAGACATGATATTATAGACATGATATTATAGACACGGTGTTATAGACATGATATTATAGATATGATTATATAGACATGATATTATAGACATGATTATATAGACATGATATTATAGACATGATTATATAGACATGGTATTATAGACATGATATTATAGACACGGTGTTATAGACATAATATTATAGACATGATATTATAGATATGATATTATAGATATGATATTATAGACATTATATTATAGACTTGATATTATAGACATGATATTATAGACATGATATTATAGACATGATATTATAGACATGATATCATAGGCATGATATAGATATGATATTATAGACATGATATTGTAGACATGATATCATAGGCATGATATAGATATGATATTATAGACATGATATTATAGACATGATATTATAGACATGATATTATAGACATGGTTTTATAGACATGGTATTATAGACATGATATCATTGATACTATTGATAATAAAATTATAAACTAGACACCGTACCATATTACAGATACGATTGATAAAATATGACAGGTTAGTTTTTCTTAACCAGAATATTGGCCCATCAAATAACTCGTTTGCTCTTCATATAAAATATATTTGTGTTAAATCAATGTCTAAATGTTTCAGGTTCAGATGATGTTTGTGTCGACTCCGCTAGAAGAAGAATATGTAAATGCTACAATCCTCTGAAATCAACACATTTTATAGAATGCTGCGGAGACAACATTATACGGTTAGAATGGACTGGTGCGACAATACTCTACGAGCAAATTAATGACACATCATGTACTCCATCACATAGAAAATCATCTTGTTTAGTCAAAGGGGAAAATAATTTTAGATTAAATTATGAAGATAAATTAAAAATCTATAACAGTTGTAGTGGAAAGAAACGATGTAATGTAAGTGTAAAGCCATCTACAAATATAAAGATACAAATTCCGGTGACTTGTGAAGCAGGTAGGTCTATTGGTCTGGATATTTTGCATGAAATCGTGTTGCTTGGTGAATATTGTAATTTCAAGTAGCGATTTGTGACTAAAGTTTTGGAGCAAAACGAAAGACAGAAACTAATCAAAAACTCAGGAAGTCAATTTCATATTACAATATTACAGGGGACGCTGTTAAATTCAATATGTCTGCCAGTTGCGTCTTTAAAGGGACAAGTGTGCCATTTTGGGTGTGGTTTGAGTGTTGAAAATGATGGCTAATTCTCGACACACGCTGACACTTAGCTTAATAATTGCCGGTTCTGTTTGGTCGAATAAATGGCGCATCTGTCCCTTTAATACATTAAATTAAAAAAAATTCCATAGATTTGAACTTTGGGCATAAAACGTTTAGTAGGAAGTTGTTTGACTATCGTATTATGGTGGTATAATGGTTGAGATAATTTTATTTATTACAAACATTTTCTTTTTCTTTTTTTGATTAGCAACTACAGTCTACACTTTCTTAACGAAATCATCTATACATTTTTCCAATAAATATCCAATATTTTATATTGCTGGTGACGATTACATTAGAAAGGAGATTACTTACAGTTGTACTGCCAAAGCGGCAGTGTTGTTCCTGGAGGTTTTATACATGCATCTTGGTCCTAAATCTTGTGAAAAAGTGAAGATGTATTCAAAGTATATGTCAACTGTAAAATTGGTCTGTACGGATTCTGGAGTGAAGATGTTTTATACTAACATGGGAATTATCGGTACAGAGTTTAGTTTTGAAATAACAGATCTGAAATTGGAAAAACATGAAGTTATATATCTTAGACTTGGTGGTAAGGACTTCATGCATTATCTATTAGAAGTTGCACCTTTATCACTGTTCCTTAAAAGAGTGCGTCTATAGTAATGCAAAAACGTTTGAACGCAATATTGTCGCATAACTCGCTGTAAGAGGTCAACTGTTTTTAAGTTTGTAATTATTAAGGACTTTTTCTCTATAGTTTTCTCACGTTTGACCGCGACCGCGGCCTAGTATTTTCCGGTCGCAGTAAGATCGCAAATGGTCTATAACGGGGTTATAAATGACTTTAACCTCAATCTATATCATACTAACGGTACTAAAAAGTCTAGACTACAGTAACACAGCATTCCTTAGCTTAGTAGACTATTATTTTAAAAGCTTTTAAAGAGAATCAGGCGAACCCAGGGTTTTCAATATCAAGGTCAAGGTTGTTCTTCAAACTTAAAGGGACAGATTAACCATTTCCGCCGTTTATTTGGCTCTTGAATATATGTAAATAGTCTTCAGAAGTTCTAGTATTACTGATTTGCTTAGATAAAATATTCCTATTTCTGAGACGGTACGATTGGACAAACCGGTGGCGAATCTGTCTCTTTAAAATAAAATAAAATACCAACAGTGACTAGTAACATTCAAATATTTTATTTTATTTAACTCATTACTCGAAATATCGATCTCTTTTAACAAAATGTTTCTTTGTATTTCAGCCAGCGGGTCGAAAATAAATGTAAGTTGCCATGGTTACCAGAAAGATACAACAGGTAAACTTTGATTGTGAACCAACTTAAATTTAATTTTTCTCAATTTAAACAAGAAATGAATAAGGAGATGACAGTCATAGAATGATGTCAAGAATCAAACAACGTTCATTTTCTCTAAGAACTTTGTTGTTATTGTCATGTTTCCAATATGAACGATGTAAGAGATGAATTAATATGCTTCTAAGATTTGAAACCGAAAGTAGAACTATATTGGTAACGTGATGTAACTCCAATGAAATAAATTTATGATCTGAGCTTTTTGATATAAATAAACAATATTAGTTAAGGGAATGGCGATTTGAAAAACCGAGATGCTCCAGAATGGTGAGCATACCCTGGATCGCTAGAGATACTTTTCACAGTACTTGTCAGAGTGAGCTCATATTTAAGGGCCATTGTTCACCATTTTCGGAGATTGATTTCGGACATGAATATCTTAAAAGTACAGGAACTGTACGAGGTTCGCAAAATTTCTTCAAAAATACCTCAAACTATTGAAATTTCACTTCTTTTCTTTTCTTTCACTAGTTTATCCCATGCCTGAAAATTATAGTACCCAATCATTGTTTGTCTTGCCTCAAAGGTGTATAATAGGAAATCCGATGTACGGATGATTCAGTTCTTGACCGTTCTACATCATGGTGCAGACTTGAAAAACACGAGGCGTCCATATAACATTCACACCTAGATAATTATAGATTCACAAGGCCAAAATTTAGACGGTAATCTGTGGATACTATTCCTGATTAGCTCAGCTGAAAATTCCGATTTTGAGACCAAGATACGATTTGTCTCCTTAAATTCGATATTGTGATTTTAGAGACACTCAACACACTTAACTCAACAGAGAATTCCAAGATAGTGGACGAAGATGAAGATAAAATCTTTGCCTTCGCCTTTTTAGGAGCTATTTGTTTCGTTCTGATTGCCATCGTCTGTATCAGGTGGGTCGTGAATCCATTTCAGTTTCGGATACTGATTATGATGCATCCAAGACAGAAACATTTTTCTGCAACAATACTTACACGAGACTCGAACAACAAGCTTTAATCTACACTCAACTGGAATTCGTAATAGACGAATCAGGGTCTGTTCGCCAGTACAGTTCTGCCTTATTTCATGATCTATTCGAACATACAGCTGTCTACCTTACTGTGAATCTGAATCAAATGACATTGAGAGTTTTCGTACTGAAGAGTTCCACATCGTTATCTTCTGACTGTTCTCTTTCAGATCTGGAAATGGATGGACCGAAACCAATACCAAAAAAGAGTTGTTAAACGCTGGAAGTAATAAAGGTGACTCTGCTCAAATTACCAATCCCAATCTCACCTACAAACAAGTTCCGGTGATGGATACGAATGAAGTCATAATATAGTACACATGTTTAATAAAAGTAATTTTTTAAAATATGGAAACCAGAGGCTCCTTGAGAGACTGGAAGTGTGAGACTTGGTATGTACGTGGATAATGTATAAATTGCATGATTGTTGACAGTGATGATATAGACGTGACGACTGCCCTTTGTTAGATTTACTGTGAAAGATTTGTTAACGCATTGTAATGTTTGACTTGTGAGGTTGAGTTGTGCTGGTTTCTATACGTCTATATTATAATGTGGTCGTATATTGCCGTCGTTCCTGCCGTCCGTCCGTCCGTCCGTCCACAATTGGCTTGCGAACATAGTAGAGACTACATTTTTATCTGATTTTAAATTTGGTGTGATCATTTATATTGATGAGATCTCAGACAAGTTCAAATTGGACTATCTTTCGATAAACTATTTTAAAGTTATTGCTCTTGACTTCGGAAAGACGCGTCAATTTGTTTGAACACAATAGAGACTACAGTTTTCATCCGATTTGAATGAAATTTGATTTGATTATTTACAATGATAAGATCCTAGACAAGTTCGAATTGCACGATCTTTCGATGAACGGTTTTTGAGTAATTGTGCTTGACTTAGACAAAACGCGCCAAAATTTGTTTGTGAACGCGATAAAGGTGACAGTTTATGTCATTTTTCATGTTTGATTAAATCAACAATATCTTTGACAAATTAGATTTTTGATACGATTTGACAGATTGGCGATTGCCCTTGATATACTGAAAATTTATCAGGGAAGTGGGCGTGTGCTGCTAGGCTATATTAAGTTCCCACTATCAAGGATCGCGGCAGGCTTGAATCGCGGTCTTAATCGTGATTATTCTATCAGATCTTGAGGTCTGTCGTAGCCATCGTGTTATTAGTAGAACTTTGGCAATCGGGTTCATCGTATCCGATTGTAATATTGTATATTACAAATTGTATGTTTCGCATATTGCCCTTGATATACTGAAAATTTATCAGGGAAGTGGGCGTGTGCTGCTAGGCTATATTAAGTTCCCACTATCAAGGATCGCGGCAGGCTTGAATCGCGGTCTTAATCGTGATTATTCTATCAGATCTTGAGGTCTGTCGTAGCCACCGTGTTATTAGTAGAACTTTGGCAATCGGGTTCATCGTATCCGATTGTAATATTGTATATTACAAATTGTATGTTTCGCATATAATCGTGCTTCCAAACCATGTTTATCTCGATAGATCTCGGACAACACTCGTGCGATCCGAGTTTAGATACAATACGATAGGATTGTTTCCATTTTGCCCACGATTTGGGTGTTTGTCTTGTCCAAGATCCATCCCGATCGCAAAGATTTTGAAGCACGATTTAATGCGATCCGTTGCGCTTCGTTACGATGTAATACAGTATGATACGATGAATCCGATTGACGATTGTGGATCGTAGAAATATTTTCATGATCTGATAACATTTAATATGATCATGATGAATAGTCCACGATTTCAATCCCGCCGCGAATCGTGATAGTGGGTTTACAGAACCCGGTCAGTAGAGCTGTATATATACCAATCGGGGAAAGGTCGTAGCTCAAATCGTATCACCCTTGATGTCGATCCCAAAAGGCATCCTATACACAATCGTATCCTATCGTAACAGAGCTCATCGATCATTGATGAACGCATCTGAGCGTATCTGTACCGTGTACAAGATGAAAATAAGCCAGCTGCAATACATAAGCGCCATGACAGTGACTGAGGTCATCTGTCGCTAGGAAATAACTCAGATTCTCAAAATATAATTTACAACAATAAATTAACACAAAGACAGCCCTTAAAATAGACAGTTGAAATATAGAATTATGTAGTAAGTCTTTTTGAAATGAAAAGTTCAACTTTCTACAAATTGAAATTCGGTACTGAATATTCAAATCAATAATTTTAAAGTGTCATTCCATTTTGCTCAGTGGAAGATAAGACAAGAAATATATTTTTAAGTAAAACAGTAGGAATTCGCTTGTCACTTATTTATATGCTCTGTACAGACCAGTAGAATGGATGTGATTGTTATTTTTTCGTTTCTTGAATTCGGGAAACAGGAACAGCAGAATACAAAATGACTGGTAAGCAGAGAGTAATGAAATCCGTGGAAATCTGTATGAGAATTTCAAAAAGTTACGATAATAAGTTTGAAAAGCTACCTATAGAATGTCTATTATAGTGGTCAAATAAAACTTTGTATCAGACAAACTATATAAAAAGACAAACTATATAAAAAGACAAACTATATAAAAAGACTATTGAAATACTTTTGTGCATGTGCATGTTTCTGTTATGCGTATATGCTGACGATTGAAATGTTTTTATATGAATTACATTACATACATGGAAATATGTCAGACCTTAAATGGTTTAACTATGATATTTTGAATAATAATACAACTCAGCTCTAGAACAATTTGGGAATCCAGGATTACCCAAGGATAGATCACATTACGTCATATAAGAAATGAAATAAAATTAATGGAGTTCTACGTCCTACTTTTCTGCACTATGTGGGCTAATGAAGACGGTCCGTGATATAAGAAAGTCGGAAATTGGAACATGATCATTGTGAAGACAGGTCCTGCGTAAAGATGGATTTGGTTTATTGGCACAAAGAATGAGACAATCAAACGGAAATATAATGATGATATAATCAAAATGTTAGCCCTCAATTCTAGGTCACAAGTCATATCGGCTTTTGGACTTAAACTTATGGATAGTGATGTACAGATGTCGGGATCGAAGTGTCTCAAAATAATAGCATTTTAAACTGTATGTCTTGTCTAAACTTCATTTTATTGTAAAACAGCGCGATTCCCCTCGCTTATAGTTTTAAACTGAGTGGACTAATTTATGGTTCAGCTTTGTATAGTTACCAATAGTTATGGCCTTTGTCACGCTGAAAATTCTAATAAACTAGTGATCAAAAGACAAGATAGTGACATTTTGTGTCTGGCCCTAATCATCTTGACATTACATCCGTATATCATTACTTTGATTGACTGGTTCGGGCCAAGGGTAGAAGCAGACATTAAAGAAAGGTTTCTAAATTTTTATGATTATCAGAGACACTGATAGCATTAATTCCAATTTTCAAATTTCTGTAATGTCTTCAATTCCACTAAAACTAGATTACGGAGACCAGAAAACGAGACACAACCCACCCCAACCCGTTTTAATCCAATGACGGAGCCAAAGGGGTCAGCGATCCTCCCCTCATAGCCCCAAAAGCAATTTTTACGGGCAAAAATCTCATGACTAGATTAGAAATTCGGGCATTCTCCGAAATTTCGACCCCTACCCATTCCCCCTCGGATGTAAACCTTGCCTCGCCACTATGGCGCTGTATTTGGTTCAAAATAGGATCCAGATCTGATTGTATAAATTCTTTAAATCGCCTGGTCATTTCTTAGGTAGAAATGACTAATCTTATTAAATTAAAGTATTTTTACGTG